AGCCGCTTTGTGTCATCCTCGGTGGCCGGTGGCCTGTTCGTAGCTGTGTGTCTGTCAAGGTTTGTGCACGATAGCCGGACCAGGGCTACTTCGCTCCTCATCACAGGAAGCTGCTACCTAGCAAGTGTGTGTAGAATCAACATTCAGAAGATCAGCCTCGAGGAGCTGCGAGAGGGCGTGGGCTGGGCCACTTGACCGGCAGGCCACCTCCTTAAGGTCGCCTTTTGTGGTCTGCCTCTGTGACTTCCTGCGTTTTACCTATTATTCTATGTATAATGTGGACAGCATGCAGTTATCTTTTTAATAAGCCTTCAATAAATGTTGCTGCTTATCTCCTGGGGCTGTGGAACAGTGATGGAAGACAGTCCTTCCCTGGGGAGGAGATGGCTTTGGGCCACTGCACCTGGGTGCCCTGGAGGCGTAAGGCTGCTGCAGGGAGGAAAACAGAAGCCAAAGATCTCAGGCAGAAAGCTGAAGTCTCCTGGACGCTCTGCTCCAGCCCAGCCCCGTGCCCCATGCTCAATTCCCAGGGACATGTGGCCACTTTTGCCTCGCAGAAGAGCCCGGAACCAAGTGGAGACACATAGAAGGTGCTCAGGGAGGTCAGGCCCTGGTGGGGCAGCCCCCAAGCAATGAGTACAGTGTGTTCATCCATACAATATGCACAAACATGTATTTGTTAGGACAAAATAGGGTGGGCAGCTGGAGCAGATGGAAGCTGTGGACACTCAGGAAGGTGGGGTTCAGGGCCCCCAGGAACAGGCCTTGGATGGGGGACACAGTGAGAAGTGGCCCAAAGGAAGAGAGGGACTGAGCCCCCTCAGGAGCCCATGCAGACCGAGGAGAGAGAAGAACAAAGGGGGCCTGTATCCTGGGGAGCAACCCATGCCTGGGAGCAGTGCAAGAAGAGAGGAGAGGTGGCCAGGAGGCCTGGTAGGTGTGGGGGAGTTAGGAGCGCCTGTCTCTGCTGGGGCGGCTGGGAGAGCCTGCACCCGAGGGTTGGTGTGGCTCTAAATCCTGCTGGCTGCAGGGTGGGGAGTCTGAGTGGACTGAGCAGGGCCAGGAGGAGTCTGCCAGAATAACCCAGGGAAGGAGCATGGTGATGGGGCTGGGGGGGAAGTGGCTATCATGGGGCGAATGTCCGGAGGCCTGCGGTAGCGGCTGCACTCTGGCCTGTATCCCACAGTGGGGTGCGGTGGCCTTCCTCTGGCACAGGAGAGTGCAGGATGTGCCTAGGAGAACCCCTGGTCAGCCCTGCTGAGCCAGAAGCCACCAGAAGGGGCAGGTCAGGGAGGGTCTGGAGTGGCAGGCCCGTTGCCCTGGAAGAAGACGACGTGAAGGCTGCTCTCTAAGGGTGCCCAGCTGGCTTTGTCCCAGGCAGCCCTACTGATGGGAATTCATGGCCTCTTCTCTCCTCCCACCAGCTTTGGCAAAGCCCTTATTCTGAAGACTGGACAGAAGTCAGGCTCTCTCTGGTTCAACCTGATTGCTGGGGACTGGGATGCTAAGCCCAGGGCCCCCGTGAGAGTATTTACTTTTAGCACACTGCAATTTAAATATAAGAAAATATTACCCTCTGCTATATTTTATGTGTTCTTTCATCACTCTAAACTGAAGAAACTAAAACTATGGAAACAAAATTACAGTTTTAGAGGGATTAATACAGCATGACCCAGGGTGGATAGAAAAATCCTTCCTAATGGGGTATTTCAGAAAACGGATTATCCAGACCCTGCCATTCTGTGAAGGTAACACACACATTCTATGCCTGTGTTTTCACCCTTAACTGCAGAAAATAGTTGAGTCTTCACCCTCGCAGTAGGGCTTTAAAAACAGAACTACAAATTTTAAAATGTGCCCTTCCACATCCTTATGTCCAAGCCAGAGGGAAGCACGAGGCAGGCAACCGCGGAGCACCCTTACAGAGGACGCCTTTGATGAACGGCTCCACGTTAATGGGCTGTCCACATGGAAACTTGGAAATAACATTATTGTGCTTCGGGTATTTATTTCAATGTAGAAAAGAATTGATTGCCCACAGAAACAAAGGGCAAGGGGAAGACACTGCTGGAGTAGACGGGGGCGGGGGGAAGACTCTGGGATGTTTATTTCATAATGTTCTGTGGTTATTTTTCCCAAGGGCTGCTAACACTGCATTAGACAGCTCGATTTCCCTCCCTTGCAAATGTGGCCGTGTATTAAGTGACTCTGAATCGACTGCCCTGTGGTGGAACTTGGACGTGAATAAGGCAGACATTTTCAAAGCCACTGGGTGCTTGTCTCTCGATGTTCAAGCCCTACTCCTTTCTCTCAGGAAACACTGAGGTTTCTTTTCCCAGAAGAGTCAGGGCTCCGTCCCTCGTGGGCTTACCTGGCAGGCTTGCGCTCATATCTAAGGGCCTACAAAATGCCTGCCCGTTTCTCATACAGAGCCCTTTCTCAGACCAAGTGAATAACTTGTAAATAATCAAAATTATGTCCACCAGCCAGTGCGTGTCCCATTTGTGACTGTCTTGCCCTCCCTAAATTTCCCTCTGCCAGGTCTGACTGATCTGACATCGGGCCTGTGTCGACTGAAGACAAGGGCTTCACCTGGCGTCTGTGTCTACAGCAAGCTTTAGGTCATCGCCTACCAGAGAACATGACTGCGATCGATTGTACTTTGAGTGCTGTCACTCTGTGGAGCACCCAGAAGCCCAAGCCCACGGTACACAGCATTGCCGCCCTACGGAGCAGGAGCCCACGGAACACAGTGTCGGGGCCCTGTAGAGCAAGCCCACGGTACACAGCGTCACTGTCCTGTAGCACAGAAGCCCACGGAACACAGAGTCGGGGCCCTGTA